GCATATTGAGGCCATACTCTTAAGTGAAATAAATAGGACACACATGTGTAAATACTGAATAGTTTCTCTAGTGTGAGAAATTGAAAGTGTAAATAAGGATTAAAATGATTAAAACGAATCACTGATAATTTGAAACAGGAAAAGGTCCAAAGGTGTAGGAGTGGTGGGAGGGGAAGGGGAAAGAAGGGAAAGGAAAAATTATAAGAAAAAAAAAAAAGAAACAAAATCTATGTAAATAGGGAAGGGTGCACAGGTAATGGGGAAAAAAATTAGAACCAAGATACATCATGTACAGGTACAAGCACCCAATGATAAATGTAAACGTATTGTAGACCTAAAATGTACCAGTAAAAGAATTTTTTAAAAAATCTCATTGGTTATATTGCTTAAAATAAAAAATAATGGGTCATGCTTATGTGCAAGGATATAGGTGCCATTAGAACTTTTCAATGCCCCAAATAGCCCAAGCTGGCTACTCACATGATTCTTTATCCAGGAATCATATTTTGGTGTTTAGTTACCCTCGAACCTCAGCAACAAAGAAAAAAAAGCTTGAGCAGCACTTGACATAAGATTCCTGGAATCACTCTTAATTTAGGCAACACACTGAAGGCAAATTTTCCTGACATTTTAGGAGAGTGAGGGCGACTCCAGAATTTACCTCAGTAAGCCTCATCACTATAGTTAGGTTACAATCTTTTTTTTTTTTTTTGGTACCAGGAATGGAACTTTGGTCCTTGCACTTGCTGAGCAGGTGCCAAAACCACTGAGCTAAATTCCTGGCCCTAGGTTACAATCTTTACATAAAAAAATAAATGTTGCTGGGGATTTAGCTCAGTGGTTCTGCCATCTGCCTCGAAAGCGGAAGGACCCGAGTTCGATCCCTGGTACCAAAAAAAAAAAAACCACACAAACAAAATAAATGTTATAGGGGGCTAGGGATTTAGCTCAGTGGTTCCGTTTCCTGCCTTGCAAGCGCAAGGTCCAGAGTTCGATCCCTGGTACAAAAAAAAAATACATCTCTCCTCCTTAGGGGCCGGGGATTTAGCTCAGTGGTTCTGCTGCCTTCCTCGAAAGCCCAAGGTCCTGAGTTCGATCTCCAGTACCACAAAAAAACCCAAAAACCAAAAAACAAAAAAACAAAATAAATATTATGGCTTTACCTGGCATGCATGTGGCTTTACACCTGTGTGCTTCAACATATGGATTCGGAGGGAATACAACTTAGGCAATGTCCTTCCACATATGGAACATATGAATTCACGTTTGGTTCTGCCCTTCTCAGACGATGTTCCGGATGCCTCATTCGACGTGGAATTGGACGAGGATGATGTGGGTGCATCTTTTCTGGTGTGTCGAATCAGGTGTGCCCGCAGTGAAGCACTGTACTGAAACTGTTTCTTACACAACTAAAAGAAAAAGTAAACAAAATTCTATCTAAATATATTTGTGTTACAAAGTGCAAACAACTCATTTCAACTTTCCATTTGTTATAACTGAAAAAAAAAAATCAATAAATACACATTATGCAAAAGACAGTATGTTAAGTACCAGACTACAGAGATGAAAGGGATACTCCTCAGGCCTTACTTTGGTTAAAATTTAACCAGAAGGTGGGCACAGTGACACGTCCTATACTTCCAGCTATTTAGGAGGCTGAAGTAGGAGGATCACCAAGTTCCAGGCCAGGAATTTAGTGAGACCTTGTCTCAAATATTACATACATAAGCACATACATTAAATCTAACTAAAGCAAAGCTTTTATATATAGAAAAAGATGGAAGTTCTTTTTTTTTTTTTTTTTTGAGAGACATCTACCTGGCAGCCCAGACATTGTTCTAAGTTTTCTTGGGGTCTTTTTTGTTTTGTTTTTTTTTTTTTTTTTTTTGAGACAAGGTCTCAGTATATAGTTCAGGCTGGCCTTGAACTCACTATAGAGTCCAGGCTGGCTTCAAACTAATGGTGATCATGCTGACTGCTGAGATTACAAGCATTCGTCACCATGTCTGGTGAGAAAAAGGTGACGTTCTGAAGAGTAATTAGAGCAATGAGGAAAGACTGGGCTTGAGTTTGGTATTAAAGGACTAGACACAGATAAATACAGAATATTATCATTACTACTAATACAGTAGTAGTTTTAGATGGAACAGATATATGGGCTGGAATAAAGTAGAAAGGTTAAGGCTGAGACAGTTCTTGGATTTTGTCCCACAGTTGGTGGAGATTCATGAAAGCTTTTCTTTAAAAGTCAAAGTTATATATGCTTACTAAAACTTGTTGTTTTAACAAAACAAATAAAACGGTGTTTCCTAATGCACAATCTCCACCAAGTCACTCCCCAGTGAACTGGGGAGGCTTCTAAAGTTAACTTTTTTCCCACACTGTTCTGATAATTATTTTGTAACTCTTTGTCTTTTTTTTTTTTTTTTTTTTGAGACAAGCTCTTGCTTTGGAGTTCAGAGTGGCCTTGAACTCTTGGTGATCCTCCTGTCTCAGCCACCCAAGTGATGGGATTACAGGTATGCACCATCACATCTGGCTTATTTTGTAACTCTTTAAGTAATATAATAAAGTTGATTCTATCCTTCCTTTCCACATTTCCCACATAAGTAAATGAGTCCTACTAGTCTACTTTAATAGTTATATTACATTAGAATAATTATACTCCACTGATATAAGACCAATTTCAGTGTTTATATTAGGATATAAATATTATAAAAGCTGGGCACATGGTATACTATGATCCTTTTTCCTTTCTTGCTTTTGTTTTCCTGATTTCTTTGTATTTACTACTAACTCATCAGCAAAGTCTTCCTCTAATTGTCACTTAGAAGAGATTCAAAACACCATTAACCAGGTGTGGTGGCACACACATGTAATCCCAGCATCTTGGGAGGCTGAGGCAGAAGAATCTCAAGTTTGAGCCCAGCCTGGGCAATTTAGTGAGACACTATCTCAAAAAAAAAAAAAAAGGTCAGTGTAGCTCAGTGTGATGGTCCTGGGTTCAAGCTTTGGTAACTCACACACATACCCCAAATAAACAAAAAACCCCATCATTACTTTACTGGGAAGCTCTGTCACAGAATAAAGTTCTATTGTAACCTATTCCGACTATTCATGGTAGAAAGTTTCATTATGCTTGGTACATAATTTCAACTTGGGGTTTCCCATTACTATTGTCTTGATGAATTCCTTAGATTGTTTTGTCAATTAAACCCATATCTCCATTTGCTAAGTCCTGGTCATTTTAGTGGAACATGCCTATCAACAGCTTCTTGAAAAAGAGAGTCTGGGAAGTTAAACTTTTAAGATCTTGCACAGCTGAATAAGTTCTTATTGTACCATTGTAGGTAACTTGATAGTAGTCAGGCATGGTGGTGCAAAGCTTGTAATCTTAGCACTTAGGAGATTGAGGCAGGATTGCTGGAGAGTCTGGGTTACATAATGAGTTTAAGGCCAGCCTGAACCACATAATGAGACCCTGTATTAAAACACCAAATAATAATAATAATGATAATAATAAGTAACTGATAGTTTGGTTGTGTTTTCAACTCAGAAATCATTTCTCTTTAGAATTTAAAAGATATTATACCTTTGTCTTATAGCTTCCATTGCTGCTGTGGAAAAGCCTGAAGCCAGTATGATCCATATCCTGTCAATGAAACTGACCATTTTTTTCCTCTGGGAATTTGTAAGAGATTCTTCTTCCCCTGATTCTCAAATTTCATAATGTACTTTGACATAAGTTAATTTTCATCCACTTTTCTGAGCAATGTACCCTTTTAATATGAAAACATCTCTCCTTAGGTTCTGACGTTTCTGATTATCACATCAATAATTTTCTTCCCTCCATGTTCTCTGTTTAGAAATATTACTTTGTTATAGTTTAACATTCCAGTTTTTTTGCACTCTCATATTTTACTTTTTGGTTACTACAGACTGTCTTCAATTTATGATGGAATTTCATCATAGTAATGCCCATCATAAATGAAAAAATACCTGAAGTTGTACTATCCGTATTTTATTGCTAAAAAGCTCTTCTGGACCAGACATGGTGTTGCAATCTGTAATTCCAGCACTCAGGAGGCAGAGGAAGGAGAATTTTGAGTTCAAGGTCAGCCTGAGCTACATAGAGAGACCTTATCTCAAAAAACCAAAACCGAAACCAAAGCAAAAGATTTCTTTGCTCTCTTACTGTGCTCTTTTTAAAAATATAGTACACTAGCTGGGGATGTAGCTCAGTGGCTCCACCACCTGCCTCGCAAGCGCAAGGATCCGAGTTCTATCCCTGGTACAACAAAACAAAACAAAACATATATATAATATATATATTATATAATATATATATATATTGCTCTTGTCCCTAACCAATCCAAGACTGGTTTCTAGGATCATCTGAAGATATCAAAATCCTATAATGTCTTATATTAAAAGGCCATGGTATTTCCATATAACCTATCCACATCCTCCCATACATTAAGCTCTAGATTATTTATAATACCTAATTAAAGTTAAATACCAGGTAAACTGTTATGCTATATTGGCTAGGTAATCACGACAAGAAAAAAAGTTTATATATTTAACAAATTTTTTCAAGTATTTTCAATATCCAATTGGGTAACCCACGAATGTGAACTCTGCAGACTGAGCTCCATCAATAACTGGTTATTGTATTCATCATGAAATTTTTTCATTCATCTTTTATATAAATCATACTTTTTGTGTATTTTTCTTACAGTCTTCAAGTTGCTTTTTCTCTTAAAATCACAAGTCTGATGATCCCTGATGTGCAAGGTCCTGAATCCCAGCACCAAACAACAAAAATTAAGTGAAAACCAGTTACTATATAACACACCCGTAGCACCAGCTACTTGAGAGGCTGAGGGAAGAGGACTACTTCAGCCCAGCAGTTTGGGGCCAGACTGGGCAACATAAGAGACTGCTATCTCTTAAAACAAAAAACCTGAATTGATATCTCTAATTGAAAGTGGAGTTGGTCTGTCATCCACAGGCTTTAATAAGCAGTATCTCCAATTCTTTTTACCAGGCTTAAGATTCTCATGTCTGTTGTCTGAGAAATCCTTTTGTTTTACGGTTAAGAGTCCGGCTGCTTGAGAAATGGGAAGCAAGTGTTCTAATGGGAAGCTGAACAAGTGAGGAGGGAGGGAGAAAGGAAGGGAAAAGAAAAAAAAATAGAAGGAAAAAATGGAAACAAAGCTTCTGTACATAGGGAGAAGAAGGGGCTTGAGGTGGGGAAGGGGATAAAACAAAATTTATATATATAAAACAAAGTCTGCCTGCTAACATCCTGGGACTTGAATAAGGAAAGAGAAGATGAAAGGTTTCAATATTCAGCCTAGGGCTGGGGATGTAGCTCAGTGGTGCTGTGCCTGCCTGGCAAGCACAAGTTTGATTCCCAGAGGGGGGGATCAATATTCAGTACAGAAGCTTTCACTTTTCCCATTTTGGATTTACTATACCTACCTTCACTGTACCCAGTGCTCCCTAGAACAGTTATGGTTTTATCTTTTCCAGAGAAAACAAGGATCTTAGGCCAAGGAATGGTGATTCATTTGGTTTTACTTCCAAAATAATATCACCAATTCCTAAGCCTTTTGGTGGTTCTGCAATACAACTAGAATTGAGCCTTAGCTTTTTCTACTGAAAACTTAGAAATGAGTCATTTCAAATTTGCTGAATCACTTATTCCATCTACTTATTAGCATTCAGAATCTAGTTGCCAAGGTTTCTTCATCTGTTGTTCTCTTTGCTCTTTTATGCATTTATAATTTTAAAACAATCTTTTTACTATTATCTCACTAGGGTATCAAGAGAAAAAAAAGGTAACAAACTGACTATTAGGCAGGGGCAAGTAATGACATGTACAAATCAGATGATGATTCTTTATAAGGGAAACAGGCATAGAGTACTAGTGGTAAGAATAATTACCAATTAGTAAGTAAGATAGGTTCCATTTATGAATTTAGAGCCATTCTCAGTCAGTTTCAGATACTTACTGGAGGGCCAGGAATTTAGCTCAGTGGTTCCGCTGCCTGCATCGCAAGCGAAGGACCTGAATTCGATCCCTGGTACCAAAAAAAATAAAACAAACAAACAGATACTTACCGGACATTTGTAATCTCTAGCTCTCTCATGTTTTAGTGTGTGCATTATGAAGGCATATCGCCTCTGAAAGACCATTCCACATTCCCCACATTTATGGGATGCTTCTTCAGTGTTCTCCTTAGCATCCCTTTTGGGCTGTTTCAACTTTTTCCCTCTTTGAACTAATTTCTGGGCCACCTGGTCAAGGGATTAAAAAAACAAAATCTAAGTAAATATATTCATTTTGGCTTTTAAAGTTGTTAAGTCATTTTATAAATTTCTAATAAAAATATTTCAAATTCACATTATCTTATTAATATTGGTATTTAAAACATTAAGTTGCTTCCCTGTACCCATCTTCTCTCCCAATTAATTTTTAATTATAGGCATTAAATTCATTACTAGAATGATCTTAACTAAAACTACAAAGGACAGTACTTTTCCACATCACACCTGCTGAACTGCTGACTTGGGAATGGCTTTCCGTTTCTGTAGTTTTTTGTCCATACCCTTGTGTAGTCGGATATATCCTCCTTCATTGACAGACCGCTGCCGAAGCCTGCTTCTGTAAGTATCATCAGGATTTGGGTCTGTCTTTTCTGTTGGTGCAACTAGATTTTCCTGATCTTTTAAAGCTTGGTCAAGGTTCTCCCTGTCTTTTGAAATATCTTCAGTACATGTATCTTCAGTTGATACATCATTTTCCATGTCACTGTTCTCTTGGGAGCTGATGATTACAGTCTCTTTTGAAAGTTTAGCATGAATATCAGAAACTGTGTCATCTTCTCTAATGTCTGAAGTTTCTAGCTCTGGCTGGTTGTTTTTTGTTATTAAATCAATAGACTCCATTTCTGCATGAGAATTATTTATACATTCTACAGATGACAGAGGAGCTTCAGGCTCTGAAGAAACCTGGGGCTCAGGCTGTTGTCCTAGCTCTCCATTCTGTTCAGTTTCTGGCAAGTCTCCATTTACCAGGAACACAATTTCACAGTCTCCAAGTTCATTAGATAAAGTTGTTGTGGTTCCCTCACTGCTAGCTGTAGCAGGTGCTGCACCTCCGTGGTGTTCTGGTAAGTCCTGGGTTGATGCAACTGTTTGTACTTCACCCTTCTTATACACTGTAAGCTGTTTCTCTTCCATTAGTTTATGTACATTTTCACAAATTTCTAAAACTTCTGACATGAAAAGATGACGAGCTAAGATGGCTACATCAGCCATGCTACAGAAGTCAAAACTGAGTACAGAAGTATAGGCAAATTCCAGCAAAGGAAGGAAACTTGCTTTACAAAAACCTGTACAAAACATGAAAAGCAACAGGCAAGAAAGTCAATCATCACTAAACCATCCTACAAGAACTAATATACAATTATGACAATATAAAATATTAAAAAAGATAATCATGACCCTTTATTCTGCAATCTATTACCCCTCAATTTACTTTCTGTTCTGGCTAATTAAACCTTGTGTAACTACTAAGTCACTTCCATGAGCTGAGTGTCTCAATACCTAATATAGAAAATAATATCAGACTTACTACCTCAAAAGTTGTTGTAAGGCAGTCACTGTCAAACTGTATTCCTTAAAACCCTGGGGTTCCTCAAATTCCCCTCAAGAAACAGCTGCTGGAGAATGGAGGGTGGGAAAAAAAAAGGGAGGCAGGTGAGTAGGCAGGGTTCAACCAACCTATCCTCTAACCTCACTTCATTAAGTATTCTGCATTTTTAAATAGTAGTCCATATAAAATTATGATTGAACAAAGTATTCTACAATTGAAAATTAAAAACCTCTCTAAGACAAGGGTCAGCAAAAATTTTCTGAAAAGAATGAAATGATAAATATTGCAGGTCATAAAGTGTCTGTCACAACTATTCAGCTCTGACACTGTAACTGGAAGGCAGATGTACACTATGGGTATATCTGGGCATGAATACAATTTCTTTTTTTCTTTAAGTGAGGTTTTACATTTATCAAAGGTAGAAAAATAAACATGCTCTGCAGAGCAAGCGCAGGCCAATTAAAAGTAGGGAAAGAGGTACACTCTAGAGGGCAGAGCAGACCACTGTGAAAGAGAGAGCACAGTGGAGAACACAATTTTCTTTACAAAAAAGAGAGGAATGGCCCCTAGGCTGTAGTTTGTTTATCCTGGACTCAAGGAATGAAATAATTACTATATAAATGAGGTATTACATTTGTATTCTTATAAATGGGAGAATAGGGCAGTTTATTTTCTAAGTTCTCAGGGCTTCACTTTCAAAAGTGGATTTCTTAAAATTCTAACGATTTATAAAACTAGAGAAAAAACCCCACTTCATAGTGATACCCATCATTATGAAAAGATTAAAAATTTCTACAGGGCTAGAGATATAACTCAGTGATGAACCACTTGCACAAGGCCTTGGGTTCAAGTCCTAGTTACTTCTCTCCCCTCACTCCAAAAAAGAATTTGTATACTTTCTAGGGTTTTTAAAATACAGCTAAGTAGGGCCAGGATGTAGCTCAACAGCACAGCGTCTGCCTTGCAAGTGCGAGGCTCTTAGTTCAATTCCTGGTACCGGGGGGAAAAAAAACAGCTAAGCAAATATTCTTATTCCCCTTTGTTACATTAGGTGTTATATTACACATAATGTCTGTGCCTAGTTCACAATCTCACTATGTAGAGTTCAGGCTGGCCTCGAACTTGCAGTGATCCTCCCGCTGAGTGCTGAGATTGCAAGCATGGCCCACCATACCCTGGCTTCTCTTGTACAATGATTTATCTTATAAAGATAAATATGGTAACCTATCTTACAGAGATAAATTACTAGACAATATAAAAAGAGTCCAAGCAATCTTTTAAAAATTCATATTTGATTGGTGGCACATATAATTCCAGGACTCTGGGAGGCTGAGGAAGGAGGACACCAAATTCAAGCCCAGCCTGGGCAATTTAGTGGCAACTTATGGCAACCCTGCCTCAAAAATAAAAAACAGATAAAATGTGATTCCTTTTGTATGCAGAAAATGGATATGTATAAAGGAAAGATTTACAATGGTACATTAGGAGTCAGACTGAAGATTAATAATTAAATAGACAAATCATGGTAATCTGCTACAAAATATGAGACCAAGTTAAATTTAACTAAGAGTATTTCTTAAAAGAATATATGCCAGGACCAGGGATTTAGCTCAGTGGTTTCGCCGCCTGCTGCACAAACGCAAAGACCAGAGTTTGATCCCCGGTACCAAAAAAAAAGAATATATGCCAAAGAAATAAAGGATGTTGGACTTTCACCTAATACCTTTTCAACTTCTAAGTTATTCTGGTTTTGGTTTGGTTTTCTATGATAGAAATATAATTCTTAAAATACACAAGTCTAGATGCAGGAAGTTCTGATTTGGTTTGTGATTTCCTGGTGTGATCAGGGATAGAGGTTCTCATCTTCCCGTTCTGCAGCACATGGGATTCCATCATCAAGGACACCACAAAGTATCTCACAGGCGCGAAAGCCTTTGCATACAACACAGTAACTCTTTCATCTCCAAAAAGAAACCCGGAGACCTGTGAAGAGGCCCAACGACCTCCTACCTGTGTAAAAGAGCCTTAAAAAGTCCCAGCTCACCATTCAATCAGCAAGTGGCTTCTCCCTATCCCCTTTCTATACTCCCACTACCACCAATTAACAGGGAAAATACATTTGAATTTTATCTCCTTTATCTTCAGCCATCTATTAAGAAAAGATGCTTTCTGCAGGGAGGGTGGTCCAGGCCAATCCCAGCTATGCAGGAGTCTGAGGTAGGAGTATCACAAGTTTGAAGACAACATGCAAAATTTTTAAAAGATTAGGGTACAGGAGAGTGGGAAAGTGCTTGCCTCGGAAGTTTAAGGCCAGGGTTTAATCCCTATGTGTGAGGAATTGCCCTTAGTAACAAAGACTATTGGCTTCTCTGCATGTTGGGTTTCCTGCTCTTGCTCAATGTCAATCTCTGGGTATGTAAAAATTAGAGGAAATACATCTTTTAGAAGGCTAGAACTACTCTAAACCAACCCATTATACCAACTTCATCTGGTGTTCACTAATATCCATCACAGTATCTTTTATAAGAAGCTAGCAAACATTAAGTATTTTCTTAAACTGTTAGCTGCTCTAGCAAATTAACTGAACCCACTGAGGGAGTTGTGAGGACCCCAATTTATAGCTGGTCCATCAGAAGCATATGTAAAATAACTGGGGCATGTGACTGGCATCACAAAGGTGTATGTAGGACAGTTTTGAATACTGAGCCCTCAACCTGTGGAATATGATCTTGTCTGCACTCACACGCTTATATATATTGGCGCATTTATATATATATAAATTATTTTTTTTGTGGTACTGGGGATGGAACTCAGGACCTCGCGCTTTCGAGGCAGGCACAGTGCCAATGAGCTTAATATAAATTCTTGTAAGGCCCAAAGTCAAACTATTTATTTATAATATAAAAAAATAAGGAAAACCCCACCTGGGATTTTTATTTTTCTACATTGATGGTTTAACTTAATGAATTCTAACTTTTTTTTCCTGAGACAGAGTTTCACTATACAGTTGAGGCTGGTGTCAAACTCACAATGTAGCCCAGGCTGGCCTCAAACTTGTGATCCTCCTGTGTAAGCCTCCCAAGCTCCCAAGTGCTAGGATTATAGGCAGACACCACCACATCTGGCTATGATTAATCTTAAAAAAAAAAAAAAAAAAAAAAAAATCAAAAAACACAAAAGTACTCTGTTTACAATCACATGCACAAAATGATATAGACAATTTTAAACAATACATATTAATTTAGTATAATAATACTAATATTACTATGTATTCCTCTGAAACTATTTTTAAGTTTGAATCTCAGAAATAATAATTCTGCTATAACTGTCTGGCCTAATAGTGGTAGAAAAGGATTGCTTTTTCCATAACTCTATCTTAGAACTTTGCTAAAAAGAAGAAATCTTTCAGTTGACTTGGTCTGCTGCTGTAAGCAAGCTTCTATTTTAGTGTATATCTGGAAGACAGGCAGACAGACACAAACACACACACACACACAACCCCTTTTTCTAGAATGTACATATTAAGAAAAAACAAGGGTATTCAAAAATTCTTACCAGAAAGATCTACCACAGCCTCATGACTGGAAATAGCTCCTTTCTCAATAAAAAGGTCTCGAAAATATTCACTATTAGCTGACAAAACAGATTTATGAGCTTTGTACTCTTCTCCTTCAATCAATAAAGTAACATCACAGAACTGGTTGGAAAGTCTCTGTTCATTCAGCTGTTTCAAGACAGCCTGACAATGTTTTGGAGAAGAACGTTTTACCACTCCTTTGGTGTCAACCTGCCAAAATAAATTTGAGATCAAGAGGTGTATTATATATCATCTGCATATTTCACCCTTAAGAAAAACTATTTCATTTTAACAGATATGAAGAAATAACCTGCTATTCTTTTCTTCTTCTTCTTCTTTCCCTGGTACTAGGGATTAAACCCAGGGCCTTGTGTATGCTAGGTTATTCTTTATTATGTAAATATTTAAAGTCCTGGGGTCGGGGATTTAGCTCAGTGGTTTCAGCACCTGTCTCCCAAGCGCAAGGTCCTGAGTTTGATCCTCGGTACCAATAAATAAATAAATAAATAAATAAATAAATAAATAAATAAATAAATAAATAAATAAAAATATTTAAAGTCCTGTGTCCAATTTCTTGTCTTTCCTTACTGGTCAGAACTTTGATGATGTATAAAATGGCTATACATCAACAAACAAAAACACAAAAAACTAACCAGAAAACAACAACCAAAAACCTAGCCAAATTAATTTTACCTTGCTGCATGATCTAGAATATTTTACCTGTACCAATACATCATTACAAAAAAAAAAGGAAGGAGAGGTAATTAACAACAAACCAATAATATACTAAGTTCATTCTAGAGAAGTAATATTTATAATAAGTAAACAGGCAGCATTAGCATACTCTTGTCTTATGTAACATAGTGTATGACTCATTTTATTGTATTCAATAAGCTCTACTTTAGACGTGAAGACCAAGCAGTGTAGGCATTCTGAAAAAAATAAAATTCACCAAGACGGCAAACACCAGTATACTAATTAAAAATGTTAACACTAAGTGGACAGTACTACTTACAAATACAAGTTCATGTTTGGACACTGGCTTCTTTTTGGAAGACTTGGAGGCTGTGGCTGGAGGCGAAGTAAAGTTGCTCAAGTCATCTTCTGATTCATTACTTTCTTCTCCAGATTCAAGGTCTAGTCCCAATTCTTCCAACATTTCTGAAGTATCTGATATCGGACGAGAGCGATCTAATTTTTCCTGGCATTTGCTGCACTGTTTAATGTAATCTTTGACCTGCTTTAATATACCTACAGTAAAAATAGAAATTAAATCAAACAATACATTTCTTATGCATCATTTTTTTTTGGTACCGGAGATCGAACTCGGGTCCCTGTGCTTGTGCAGCAGGCGGCAAAATAATATATCATTTTTAATCTATGGATACAACTTGTGTTCAAATGTCCAAATAGACACACTACCATAAAGAAAGTAGAATGGCTTCTTTTTTTTTTTTTTGTATCGGGGATTGAACTCGGGACCTTGGGCTTGCAGGGCAGGCAGCGGCACCATTGAGCTAAATCCTGGCCCTTAGAATGATTTCTTTTGAATGTAAGATACATTTTTTTCCAAAGATACAAGGATATAAATGGTTTGCTTCTATGCTAAGGTAAACTGATTTGTTGTTTACTCCATTATTCACTTCCCCCACCATAAAATGATTATGTGTGTATATATATGTGTATTTTTAAACTATTCACCAAAAATAATAGTGCTTAGAAATTGACAGCACATTTTATGAAGACATAATATAATTCATTGTTGGGAACATATCTCTTGCAAAAGCAGTTATATCTGCCTGCTGGATGCTCTTCTGATGTGTTTTCTAAGTAACTTCATTATTCAATGAGGAATATTTTAATCATCTAAGTAACACTGAGGTTGCAGTATTTATATTTAGACTGTGTTTACTAATTCAAAGTCTTTTTCTCTATTTTTGTTGGAGCACTTACCAAACTCTGTCTGCCAGGTAATTGATGTTTGTATTCAGAAAAACAAAATGTTAAGGTTTTTTTTCCAAGGTCTCAGAATATTTTCAATTTCTTTTTTTTTTTAACCTTCTCCACTTTTCTCTTCTATAATAGAATTTTATTTTTTTTTCCACATCCAAAGGTTTACTTGACAAAGAAACAGTGATATCATGTACAGAGAGAACTTGGTTAGTGAAATCTAAAGCTGGCTGTGGTTGTACATGTCTATAATCTCAGCACTTGGGAGGCTGAGGCAGGAGGATCCCTAAGACTTCCAGACTATCCTGTGTTTTTTTATGCTTTACATTGTATATTTGTGTCAAAGGTGTATATGACTTACTTTGTCAGACTCATGAACAAGTCCGACTTACAAGTTCTCCCAGAATGGAATTTGTTACTAAGTCCAGGATTTGCTTCTGACTTCGCAATAGTGGCTATTCTTTCTTGAGTAAGATGGAATCCAATGTTGTTTTAATTCACATTTCTTTAGTGGCCAGCAAAGCTGAACATTTTTTCATGTATTTATTGGCCATTTGCACTTCTTCTGACAAGTGTCTCTTCATTTCAGTTGTCTATTTTTTTTTAGTTCTTTGTATATACTAGATAATAGTCTCTGTCCAATGAATAAGTGGCAAAATTTTTTCCCATTTTACTGTAGGCTTATTATATTAATAAAACTTAATAGGAAAATACATTTTTAATATAGTAGTAGAAGGGGAAGAGTTTCACTAATCAATTTCTTCATAAGTAGGGTCTTTCAAAAAATTTTAAACTTCTAAGCAATTTATATAGCATGCTTCTGAGTAATAAAAAGAGAAAGTTTATACTGATTGACTCTGTTCCAGACACGGTATTTGTTAATGATCTAATTGACAGTTGATAAAATAAGCATTTTAAACTACTATTTCTTAATGTGTCACAAACTACAAATAAACTCTCTAGAGATACATTGTCTGAAGCCATTATAGATTGTTATGTGTAAGCTAATAAGATGTGGTGAATGTAGACACCAAGAAAAGAGCGATTAACTTTTCTTTTAAAATTTTAGATTTTTATTATGAAAATAATTTTACCCTTGTGGATCCTCTGAAGGATCTCAGGGCTTCTTTCCCTCAATGGTTCCAGATGTTTGAGAACAGCTACCTGATCTGTAAGAATTTTGGAATTCCACAACTTTGAACATATTTCATTTTTTATTTATTTTATTTTTTGGTTTTTGAGACAGGTTCTCACTTTGTACTTTAGGCTGGCCCTGAACTCCTTGCAATCTTCCTGCCTCAGCCTCCCCCGTGCTGGGATTATAGGTGTATGCCACCACACCTACCCTAGGATTTCATTTTTAAATTGAGCTAACTCAAACATAGTCTTGGATGTTTCTTTCTGTCTTTTCAGACAATACACACTAAAAACAAAAAAAAAATCATCACCCCAGAAAATCCATTTAATAGCTGGGTGTGGTGGTTCACGCCTGTAATCTCAGCACTTGGGAAGCTTGAGGCAGGAGGATTGGTGTGAGTTCAAGGCCAGCCTGGGCTACATAGTGAGTTCAAGGCAGCTTGAATAGCTCAAAAAAAAAAACAACATAAAAGCAAAAAACAAACCAAAAAAATCCATTTGATAAAGGAAAATTCTGTAAAGTAAACATCATATAGCACTACAGAACAGTGGTTAAGAAATACATGAAGCCTGGTTAGGTGGCACCTGCCTAATAATCTCGGCTACTCTTGAGGCTGAGGCAGGAGGATCCAAAGTTTGAGGGCAGCCTTGGGCCGTTTAGCGAGACCCTGTCTCAAAACATTAAAAAGATAAGAATAGCCAGGCCTGGTGGCACACGCCTGTGATCCCAGCACTTGGGAGGCTGAGGCAGGAGGATCACTGTGGAGTTCACAGCCACCCTGAACTACAAAGAGAGACCCTGCCTCAAAAAACCCAAAAAAACCCAAAACAACCCCCCCCCCAAAAAAACCCAAACCACAATAGGAATGTAGGTCAGAGGTGAAATGCTTATCTACAGTAGCATAAACCAGGCCCCGGGTTCAATCCCCCAGTACCACAAAATAAAACCAAAAAAAATCAACTGTGTGCTTTTAGTTTTCCCATCTGTAAAAGTTATTTCCACCTTACAAAGTTTTAAGAAGATTTACCAAGACAAATAAAGTGCTCAAAACTATGTCTGCATGTAAAAGCATGGTCAGTGTTACCTTTAGATATAATTATTATCTTTACCAAAAGTATTAAAGTTGAGGCATTCAAGTGTCTGCCCAAACCAACCAGTTTTGTCTCCTTAGAGTAATTTAATTCAGATATTAGTTTAAAACAGACTACAGGTGCCAGGTGCAGTGGTTCGTCCCTGTAATCCTAGCACTTGGGAGGCTGAAGCAGTAGGATCCCCAGTTCAAGGCTGGCCTAGGCTACATAGTGAATTCAAGGCCAGCCTGAACTACATAGCGAGACTCTGTCTCAAAAAACCAAAATAAATAAGTAAATAAATATAACATAGGTTAAGGTAAAGCATGTGAGAAGAATACAGATCTGGAATGTTTTTAAAAGCACAAGAATTCTTTAAGAACAAAAGGATTTAGGCAACAGGTTTGATGACAAAGTTCATAAACTGACAGTACGGTGGCCTCATTTCTTTATTCACAGATGAAGCCACCAAGACCGATGAGTTAATTTCTCCAGAGCCATACAGAGTGGCAGAACCCTTCCTAACAAAACCTGTTCTGATGTGAGACTGTAAAGATTACTAATTTTAACTGAGAAGTTTCAATATTTATCAACTTTGTGGAAAAGGAAAGAGGTTAAGAAGTCAAGGGCACTTGCTCTGCTTCCCTAAACTAGTCGCCAAGGAGTCAAGAAAATTTAGAGCTATTATTTTTCTGACAATAATAAGCAATCACGGTACCCTTACTTTTTCAGGGAGTATACAGTGTCTCACAGTTCCCAAGTACTTGACACAGAATTAGAGATAAGAACAGTAAATTGTTGGAATTAAAACTATCTGATATTCTTTACATTTAACTCTTGTTATAAAACGAGGTTTAAGAGGACTGTCACACGATTACTCCTTATCACCTCAGCACCTAACTGCCTTACTTCTTATATACCCCGAGGCAGCAGAATTTAAGAACTACGGGCCAGTGGATCCAGAAAATCAGACGCACTCGCCAAAACCAAAGCAGAACACCCAGGAGAAAGCAGCCCCGGTGTGGACGACCGCCCGAGACCCACCAGCGAGCACACACTGACTTGGGGCGCAGCCGCGCCGGGCGGCACAGGGCGGAGGAGGAGCCGGGGTAGCCCCCGTGGTCCCACCCCGGCGAGGGCCCGCCCCCAGCCTCCCGGCCCCTTCCTGCGGGAGGTGCGGCTCCTTTCGCGTCCCCCACCCTAGGCTCCGCCTGTAGCGGCTCGCTGAGCGCAGGCCGCCTGGCCACCGGCGTCCGAGACCCTGCGAGACCCTGCGCTCGCGGGTGCGTGACACCCCACCCGCAGGCCCGCCCCTCGCCGCGGGCCCCGTCTGACCTCTCCACCAGTACGTCTTGGACAAGTCGTGCCAGGTCTGGTGCCGGGTGTGGTGAGTGCCTCCAGGGCCCAGGTGCGCTGCCTCGATGAGGCCCCGGCGCCGCTCCGGCTGCAGCACCACTTCCAGCTCCGCAAAGGTCTTGCGGTGCCGCTGCCGCCGCTGGTAATACAGAGTCCCGCCGCGCACCACGTAGCAGGCGGCGGCCTTGCGGATTTTACGCTTGACATTGCCCTCGGTGCCAGGCGCGTACGGCTCGCGCTCGTTGGTCAGGTAACGCAGGATGGCCCGGTAGCTTTCCTCGCTTGACATCGCGGTCAGCGGTTCCCTGAGCGCGCCTGTCAGTGGTGGAGGAGGAAGACAGCACACTAGCTCCGGGTGGATGCAACACCAGCGGAGGCGCTGTAAGGAGGTACAGCTCCGCCTTTGGAGAGTGCTCTTCAAGGGCTCCCGCAGCGCAGGGGGAGAACAGGCGAATTGGTAACCAGGGGGAACTGCACTTCTCCAGCGCGCGGGATCCGGTGGCGACTGACAAAATGGCTGCTGCACCACCGGAAGTGACGCAAGCCAAGGGCGGAGGCTGAGCCTTGATTGGACCGCTCTTGCTTTCTGGATGGAGCGAGCCCATCGAGTGACGTCACTACTGCGGCCGGACATTTTGGAAGCGGGTAGGCCCTTCCCTGGAGATGGAAGGGTAGTTGAGTAGACATCTTAAGTCCTGGCAGTTTCCCTTTTTTATTTTTCCCTTTTCCCACGCTCTCTAGAGAGCCACGTGTAAGAGCTGGTGCGCAGTTGTTATCCCTTCGGAGACACTTAAGAGAGGAAATGAGTTCGTAAGCATCAGATTTTTAGGCTTTAGCAAATTCGCTCCTGGACCAGATAGGTCCATTGGCAGGGAAATACAGAGTTCAATTAACAAACGTTATAAAATTAAAACCTCCCAATCTTGTTATTTCTGCATATAAACCAGTTGCTCTCAATTACCCAACGAATAATCAGGCTTTTTCCATAATGGTCGGCATATATTGTAAAAATAAAAGGCAATCATGTTGGAACAGATAGGAAGAAGTACCTAGAACTACCAGGCTTCGTTTATTTTTATGTGTTCAGTATAAGCTTGCGTACATTTTTACATACGTTTAGAAGAAAAAAAGGTCTCTACACCACGACTAAAACTTCAGTTTTTTTCAATGCATGCTAAGGGTCCTAATATAATACTCTTTGAATTGGCTGTGGTTACAAGAGGCTAGGGAGGATTCCACTCCCTGGCGAGTAAGTGCTGCTTTTCTGCAGCTGGAAAATTCCGGGCTTCCTAGCCCGAGGGCCTTGGCTCCCCACGTTTTTCTTTATGAACCTGATTTTAAATTCTTTATGAAGCTCTTTGACCCATGTAGTCATGAGTGAGGATAACAGGTGAGAAAAAAACATCTAACTGGAGATCTATTTGGGATGTTTAATCTGCAGACTTTCCGAGTCTAACTGGAATAGTGAGAAATTAGAAGATGGAGATGCACTTTTTCCCCCACCATGGGGGGGGGGGTAGTGAGTAGATAGGAGCAAACCTACCCTCTAAGGAGCTGGTTGGTCTGTCAGTGGTGGTGAACCTGTAGCTCACTTGCCGCTACAATTGAAAACTCTAAAAGGTTCGCCATCACTGGTCTATGCACTGGGCCAGCCTCACCAACTCTTCTGAGATTTAAAAAACTGTACAGGTAGAATTTAGTGGCAAATATTACTAAAGAAAAATCTAAGTTGTGAAAACATCCCTCCACCCAATACAGTTTGTTCAAAACACCGAAGTGTGAAAGCACTGAGAATCCCGTACAGTACTTGAAATCCTTTGAACTAATGGAAACAAATCTCTTTAACTGCTCTCCTAGTCAACATTATCTGGCCAAGCAAGGCTAAATTTTTACCACGAGGAGAGGTACCGTTATTTCTATCTTTCTGGGCTAAAGACTCCTGGGCAACCAGAACTGGAAGTTCCAATTTAGACCAGAAAACAATGCTTTTATTTTTTTTAATTTTTTGGTACCAGGGATCGAACTGAGGACCTTGCACTTGTGGGGCAGGCAGCAGAACCACTGAGCTAAATCCCCGGCAAAACAATGCTTTTAAAAGGGACGTTTTAAAGACAGTAATAGAAAATAGGGAACTTCTGCAAAAGGGAGATCAAGAGATGGAGGGGAGGGGCATAAAAAACTAAGGTGTGTTATGGCCACATACTAACTCCCCACCATGAATGTAATCATTTACTGCAAACGTAATATTAAGTGGGAGGACAATAAAGGCACATTTTTGCTCTGCATCCAAAAATTAGCATCCATAGCTCAACATTCACTCGGATCATTTTAATAGCCAAAAGATAACTTTTATTTTCCCTGGAATTTCACATACAACATTGTCATTTAGCACCAACAGGACTTTTTTTTCCAAGCAAAATTCTAGTACTTTGTTTTGCTTTTCTGAGCAAAAGCCTATCAATATATTCAGTTCTGTTGGCTGAAAGGGGTTCTCCCTAAACTGCCCAGGCAAGGCTCAAAATTGCAATCTTCCAGCCCCAGACTGCTGTAGCAGATTGCTGGTGTACCACCTTGCCTGGTTTATACTGCTTACTATTTTAGTTTCAGATTTCAAGTTTCCCCAAACACTTGGAACAGTGCCTGAATTTATGTACCAGAAAGGAAAATGAATTAACTCCTTGATAGATACAATGTGGATGAGGGAAAATATCAATGTAGACTAACTTCACCTAGTATTTAGTGTAAAAGCAAGTTTTTCAAGTGGATCTGGCTTGCTACAGTTGTATCCTTGTAACTTTGCAGTGACAGGTTACAAAAACAAGCTACTTTGTATATAGAAGTGCAAGCATGTTGTGTTTAGGCAAATTACACCATTCTAGCACATACTCACACCTCTGGAGCATCAAACCAGTATGCTGTTTTGAAATTTGGTATAACTGTCAAACCATTATTAATTAGCTCAACATACTCTGGGAATGAGTACAATATACTCTTTACTCAAGAAGTGAGATTAATACAGATGACAGTTTTAAGTACCTTGGATTTAGCTAACAGATAAGCCAGACAAGCCCAATTAAAACAAGACAAACCCAATATAAACATGTTGTGGATAAATGACCGAAAAGCGTATTTTAATAATCAACTTGAACTAAACCTATGCAACATTAATATTTTGCAGCCATGTAACCTGAAATTTAAAAGAGTTTATATGCACCCTAAACGCCTCAGCAAAGTAAAGCTGGCACTCAACCATTAGGTCTTTTTACCTGATTTTCACATCTTGCCTACTAAAAGGTTTCTCTCAACAGGCACTGTTCCTAAGAAAGGAACTTTTATTTTTGGTGCTGAGGATGGAGCCCATGGCCTCCTGCACACTAAGCATGCACTCTAATGAGCCACACCCCTATTTCTAAGAAATCAACTTATATGCCTGTGTCTTAAATTGTTAGCTTTATAGTTCAACTATTACTACACAGACCCAACATTCCCACTGTGAGTAAAAATCCAGCACAAATTAGAATTACAGATCTTTATTTAAAAATCTGATTTGCCAATTCAGCGTTTTCCACCAACTCGGGGAGCAGAAACTTTCACAGGCTTCACAATCTTCTGCTTCGGTGCTGCCTTTGTGGGAGCCTGTAAAAAGATAACATGGTGTTATGCAATACTACTCCATAAAACATCTCACTTTTATGTCCAGATTGTTTATATCCTAGATTGTCTTAGTAATTTAACTGCATTCCTAATATCAGTCTTTTTATGTGAATGTAATAAGAGTGAATTATACCCTAACAAAAAAAACTGCTGTTTTTTTCATAGGCTCAAGATTAGAAGCTTTAAATTTTCCACTATGTTAACATTGGGAAAACCGGGCATGCTAATATAATGCACATCTACAATCCCAGCACTCAGAAGGCTGAGGCAGGAGGCTCACTACAAATTCAAGGCCAGCATGGGCTCCATGGTGAGTTCCAGGCCGTCTGAACTATATCGCAAGACTGAGACCCTAAAATTATTTCTAAAGCTGAGGGTGGGGGTGCATGCCAGTGATCCCAACACTTGAGAAGATTACCATGAGCTTAAAGTGAGCCTGGACTACACAGACCTGTCTCAAAAAACCAAAAATATCTAAATAAGGTATCTAACATTAACGGACTCACTGGTTCCTGGCCTAGAGACTTATTCAGAGATCTGAACCATTCACCTTTAAATCAGCTATGAATATTTCTAGTAGGGCCTTGCACTAAATTTGTTATGACTGAAACTTTACTACCCTTTGTATTAAGAAATCAAAACAAAGGCCAGGGATTTAGCTCAGTGGTTCCACCACCTGCCTTGCAAGTGCAAGGTCCCAAGTGCGATCCCTGGTACCAAAAAAAGAAAAAGAAATCAAAACAAAATGAAAAAACCAGAACCACCCCATAATTACCTTAGCAGCAGCCATTGCTGTCTTTTTAGATGCTTGCTTAGCCTTTTTTGCTTCCTTGGCAGCCCTGGAGTTAAAAATAACTTTAGGCAGAGCATTTTACTTCTTATAGGTACAACTTATTAACAAGGAGCCAGAGTTCTGGACAAATAGAACCATCGCATTTCTTTCTTATCTGTTATTTGTGCACTAAATCCAAAATCCAAGCGGTTAATGTCATCATTCAAGTCAGCTGAACATATATTAGATTATACAGTAATTTTAACTGCATTCAGAATTTTAACAGAGCAATTTGTAAATATGTATCGTGAAACCTGATGACTGACAATTCGAAAACATTAGATTAGGTTCCTATACCTATGAAGTGAAGCAACCTAAAATTCGCCCCAGCAGCTAAAATGTTTACATAGTGAAGCATTCTTTACCTGATAGCTTGCTCTCTTTGGGCCTTTCTAACTTCTGGTTTCTGATTCCTCTTGGCCATTATATCCGCAAGAGATGCACCAGTGATGGCCCTCTGGAATTTGACTGCTCGTCGTGTTCTTTTCTTTTGAATTTCTTCCTACAACAAAAATATGGGAAACATACTTACTACCCTTGCTTCATGAATTTAGGAGAAATCCTTTCTTGAAGGAAGGTTCACATTCAACAAAAAACAATATCAGTTACTTAAAGCATGTTAAAGTTTTCCACTTAAGGACGTTTAAAACCACCTATTAACAATCCTGGCCTTTCTACTACTTTATAAGGACTAAAAATTGAACTTTGAGAAGCACCAGTTATTTCATAAACTGGATCATATACCTCTAATCCCAAAATTCTGGGAACCCAAGGCAAAAGGATCCCAAGTTTGAACACATCTTAGGCAACTTTACAAGACCCTGTTCTCAAGGAGGGGCTGGGAACATAGCTCAGAGTGAAGGTCCTAAGGTCAATCAACAGTACAACAACCAAAAAAGGTGGTTTTAGGGCAAGGGATGTAGTTTAGTAGTAAAAAGCTTGCCTAAGGCACAAGGCCCCAGATTCGATCCTCAGCATCACACAAAAAAATTGATTTTAATAATTGTTTACATATTTAAGACTAATTATCAAGTCTAAACTTACCTAATTTAACTCAAGGGGCTATCATTGAAGAGAATCACTCAGGACAATACTTTGCTCCCATTAAATAATAACTCTCCATTCTTCCTTCCCCCTTGCTTTTCAGATTTTTTTAAATCTGAAAATTCTAGTACCTTATAAAATGGGATCGTATTTTTATCTGGTTTCTCTTTTTTTTTTTGGTACCGGGGATGGAACTCGGAACCTTGTGCTTGCGAGGCAGGCGGTGGAATCACTGGAGCTAAATCCCTAGCCTTTATCTAGTTAATTTCCACTTAGTATAGTATCCTCAAGCTTCTTCTAAGTTGGCCGGTTGCTAACTTTTAAAGGCTGAATTAATATTCCATTGAATGTATACACAGACTGAGTATCACTGACTGATCCAAAATTCAAATCTGTTTAGCAACTCATACAAGCAGAAAATTCCACACCTGACTTCATGTGACGGGTTGCTGTCAAAATGCAGACACACAAAACTATTCTATAAAACTACATTCAGACTATGTGTATAATAAACTGTGTCTCTTCACCAAATTATCTTTATGTACACGCAATCGTTCTAAAATTAAAAATCCAAAATAGACACTTGTCTCCAAGGATTTAAGACCACATTCACCCTGTACATTGTATTGTCCATTCAAACACTCACGGACATTTGGGTTTCCCCCTTTTAGCTACTGTGAACAATGCTGCTATAATTATCACCATTTTGCATTAAATGATTGTTTTCCAAGACAGCTGCACCATTTTGCATCCATATGTACAAGAGTTCCCATTTCTGCACTAAAACCTATAATACCCACTTTTCTTAAACTATAGCCAACAAGAAGTCTCTCAAATTCACTTTGAACAATCAAAGTAGAGATGCTACTAAGACTAAATATTTTAAGTCTCTCGTATATTAGTTCTAGTCCTACCACCATATTCAAAAACACTCCTTACAAATCTTCATCCAAAAAGATGCTTAGGGGGGAAAAAAAGTACCTTTGAGAATGAGCCAGTACCGCATGTTGGTGTTGAAAGACTCCAACAATGTCTGTTTGGGCTACTCCTAAGAAGGATTATAATGAAAACCAAATGGCCATAATAAAGATTCAATTTCCCCTCACTAAAACTCTAAACTCAATGATGCTAATACAAAATTAGCTCAATGCAACTCACCTGACTTCTACAAAAGGCTACGCTCAAATTTCAACTATTATTCTGAGCCCGAAGTGTTCAGGGACACATTTTTTATATCCTTTCACTTCATTGTTTGATGCTTTCCAGTTTTTAAGAGAACATTCATAAACTGTCTCGTTTAGTTACAATTTTACAGAGCAGAAACCAGTGCTCAGAGAGCTTAAGTTTCTTGAGACAGCCCCACAACACCAAAGTGTATCACACTTACCGACTGTCCCTTTTTGTGCTTTCTTCGGTAGAGGACAGTCCAATTTATCTGTCGAGGATTCCTCTTGGAAAGGAATGCAGATTCGCATTTTGCATTAAGAAACTGGAAAACCTGGTGTGACAAATTAAAAAAAATTTTTTTGGTATCGAGGATCGAACTCGGGACCTTGCGCTTTCGAGGCAGGCGCCGGAAGCGCTGAGCTAAATCCCCAGCCCGACAAATTAAAAATTTAACAATAAAAGCAGCGGACCTTGAGAGCCTTAGGAAATTACTACTGTAGTTATATCAGCTTCTTTTATGAAATCGCAGCCCACAGACCAAAAACTATGTCATATAAATGGGAAGTGATGTCATCCTGAAGCGAAGGTAGGGTGGAGTGTCAAATTCTGCGAGGAATAGTGCTCTTAGATCTTCTAGAAATCACAAGAATCGGGAGCCCATAAAGCAGCCAGACGTCTCAGTGTCCCTGTTATTCCTCCTACATCAGGACATCTAAATTACATAAACCACTCCCGATCTGACTTCTGTTAGATCAAGGCTCAATACGGGTTCAGGTGGTGGTTTCTTTCTGACACTAACCACAATTCCACATAGTATCCCGAGGTCTTTCAGAGACCAACAGTGATGTGGGAAATGAACTCGCCTAGACCGATTTAGATCGGCTTTTCCTTTTCAAATCTTGCGAAGGTGCGATTTACCAGAAGCGGCCTTTTACCTTCCCGTCGGTCCGGGCGTAGCGCCTCCCGTGTCCTGGATAGATCTTGTACCCGCTAAAACTGCACAGCTCGACCCTGTAATGAAAAGTAAAAACCCATGAGGGAAGCAAATAGAAGCCATTCCTAGGACACCGCAGAGACGCTGTGCTGGAGGATGGAAACAGATTGAGATTCACGACGGCCCCTTACTTCATGGCAGCGGCCGGCAAAAAAGAGGAAAGACGACGAAGAGAAGGAGAGGATCATGGGAACAGGCTATAAGGTCGTGGGGAAAACTCCTCCCCGAAGTCCGTTTGAGCCCGGCGATCGGTGATGATGTCAACGGAACAGAGCCGGATCTCGGTCTCCCGGGAGATCCTGGGCTTCGGAGGAAGTTAGCTAGAGCGAGAGGAGGTTCTAAGGGTGGAAAAGTAGGTGACTTCCTGGCAAGCAGGTCTGGCGTCCGGTTTTGCGTTGTTCAGTTTCCGACGGTCTGATATTTCAGAGTCAGCGTCCTGATGCAGGGAATATGAACAAAAGAGAAAGGTGTCTTTTGTTCTCTCTCCCTCTCCCTTATAGACGAATGTTCCGCAGGAAATTTAAGGAAGTCATATTTTGCTCTCGCATTTCCCTATTTTTTTAAACAACGAAATTAAATTTTGGGTTCCGGGGTTGTAGCCCAGTGGTAGAATGCATGCTGCGCTTGCCCCTGGGTTAAACCCCTAATATCAGAAGGAAAAAATTGTCTAACGATTTGTTTAAAAAAGTGAAAAGGATCTGAAACTATCTCCCATTATGATGGCACTTTGTATTAATTAAAATGAACGTTCATTGTGCGCTTTCTTAGTGCTAGGAATTATACTAAGGGCTTTACAATACATTAGCTCGTCTATTTACAAAATTCCTACCGAGTTCGCGCGGAAACCTTGCAAAGTTACCGTGGGTCGGAGAGGAGCACGGTAGCGGGTGGGCTTGTGCCCAGTGACGCCAAGGGATCAATAGAGACTTTAGAAAAGGAAGGTCTGGCCAGGCCCACCTAGGTTCAAGCCAGGTTGGGGTGAAAGGCCTAGCCTCATTGTACCTCCACCTTGCTCAGTCAGTCAGATGTGGGCTGCCTCAGAGAAGTCAAGACAAGGGGTTCTCATCGGCGAGCTAGGCTGTACTGCTAGCTGGAGGATGCTGCCACCATATTTCCCACTGTTAGGTAGCTTGAAGGCAATCTGGATAATGCATTTCTGTATCTTCTACACCCAGAAAAAGCGACTAGAGTCAACAAAAACTAATCAGAGCAGGAAGTGGAGGCAGGAGGCTAGCCTAGGCTACGTAGTGAGTTCAAAACAGGTCTAAATTATGTGGTGAGAGCGTGTCCCAAAAAAACCCCAAACAAACAAACAAAAAACCCTAATCAGGAAATACCAATATTTAAAGGATAGAAAAAGGGAGAAAGAAGAATCAACTGAAGGAGACTGAACAGAAGATTAGGCCAAAGGAAGAATGTTGACGGTACTAAATAAAAGTCACATAAAGTTCAAATAAAAACAAATTTGTAAAAATAAATGCCTTTGGAATGAAAAGGCCATCCTTACTGTTTCCTTCTAACGGTATTCTCCTTTCCAGTGTGGAAGAACCCTGCCTTTTTATACCCTTCTACCATTGCTCCTTGTAGCCTGCAATCCCAAAACAGGCATTGACATTAGGGAATGCTTTGAAAGGAATGCCTAGTAACTAGGTTAGAAAATAAGTAGGTTTAAAAATTATACAGTGCCTCTTGTTAGAAGTGCACAATAGTACCAATAGTACCTATGAAACATTGTTAAAATATTTTAAAATTTATTAACCGTATTTTTTTTTTTGGTACCAGGGATTGAACTCAGGACCTTGTGCTTGAGAGGCAGGCAGTGGAACCATTGAGCTAAATCCCCAGCCCTATTAACCATATTTTTATCATACCTCATATAAGCAAACTATAATATGTGTTTATAAAATGTACTATTCAGTAATACACTGGAATGAACTATTGAAAGAAGCCTTACATAAAAAAGTAAATACTATATGATTCCATATACAGTGCATCAAGTTCTGCACCATACAAAGCCAACCTGTGGCAGGGGTGGTGGTGGGGATTAGAACAGTAGTTGCCTCTGGCTGGGGGAGGCAGGAACAACTGGGAAAGGAACTTTCTATGTTAATGGTTGTATTCTGTGTCTTGATAAGTTTTGTTATTTACACAGTTTGGCAAAACTTCAGAGAATGTTCATTTAAGATTCGAGAGTTTCATTGTATGTATAAAAGTTTTACTTCAAAGGGCTGGAAATATTTCACTTGCCTAGCATGTGCATCAGATATCTAGCACTATAGAAACAAAAAAAGACAGAAAGGAAACTCAAAAATATTCAGTACAAACTAATAAAATACATGTTGAAATATTTAAAGGGGTATGTTGACACATTTAAAAACTGATGTATTGATAGAGGAATAGATATGTGATTTTTTAAAGTATAATAAAATATAGGCAATAAAATTAAACGGGCCAGGTAGATGAGTATTTCCTGTAAAATTCTTTCAAATTTTTCCTCTTTAACATTTTTCATTGCAGTCTTTTGGAAAACTAAATAAAGAGAGCCATCTTCTGGAATAATCTGGTATTGCAGATTGGCTCAAAAAGGTAAGCACAACAAAGCATGATTTTCATATGACTGGTATGTAACAATTGCTTATTCAGACTCTGCAGGATTTTTATCATGTGTCCAAGCTGTCCTTTTTGTCTGGAAATCTTTTTATCCTTTCACTGGCTAAATTTCTACTTAGATTTTACTTTCTCTAGAACAGGGTTGGCAGACTTTTTCTGTAAAGGGCCAGATAATATTTTAGGTCTTTTGAGTTAAGAGGCAAAATTGAAGAAGTTATGTAAGTACTTATAAAACAAGGAAGAAAATCAATTTTCACAATATTTTGTTTGGTAAATTAAAAAATATAATATTGAGTAAATGATTTGTAATGCAGGTCTAATGAAAAGAATTACATCTTTTTTTCAGGTTATTTTTCTGTTTTTCAGAGGTAAATAATATTTTTCCTATTTAGGTTTCAAAGTTTTTTATTCTCTATCAAAATTGCAAATGTTCATCTGTCAATCCTTATTTGTAATCAAATATCTTTCATGTAAATAGACAATGCCCAATACTGGCATCAATCCAAAAGCATATACTTTAAATTGAGTATTTTAATCTCTTTGAAGTCAATGTTATAAAAATAATAATATTCTCTTGATGTTTGCCTTTTAGCAATGTCAAATTACTCATTTCCAACTGAAGGTTAGGTGAAAATGTCTTAACTGCGCAGTTAAATTGATTTTAAAATATAGAAATTTCCTTTGCACTTGCACTGAGATCTGTGAAACGAGCTGTATTTTCAGCTTGAAAAGTATAATCACTGAAAACTTGTATGAGGATAGAAATCTTGTTTTTTATCTTGTGACTCAATGTTAGTTGTCAAAATGACCTCACAGAATAAGTTTTTTGTGTAAGTGCAGTTTTTGCCTTGTAATTTTAAGTTGAATTCATTAAAAAGTATAATCAAATGATCAAAATTAACAAAAATAAATTAATTCCCAAGTCACTGAGTCAGTATTCCGTATAATGATTGTGAGATATTCTTCTCATTTAGAACAATTTAAATCTTGGCCCTGAGCTTAAAAAAATAATAATAATAAAACATCACTGCTGTGTGAAAGGGCAAATCAGGATAGTCTGCTGCCATTGTAACAAAAATTAATGAGCTAGCAACAGTTAAAAATACGAATGTGAGTGAAATTTATTATTGATACTGCTGGTTCAGTAACATATAGTAGATTCAATTACTTTCTATAATGTTCCTATTCATTAATAATACAGTGAAATTATAACCATGGGATTTAAAAGCCTTACGTTTTCATGTGAATTGTAAATCTGTCAAACTAAACCTTTTTCATCTGACATCATCAGATATAAACATCACAAAGACAGCACTTCAGGCTTTCTCAGTTTCCTTAAAAATATCCTTGCCTGGGGTAACCCATTTTCCAGTCCCCCTTCTGTCTCTCTTAGAAGCTGTCTTTCTCTCAATTTTTCCTACTCTTCACCTCAAAAAAAAAAAATTCTTGCCTATTTCCTGCAGCTATCCATGAATTAGCCTCTCCATAAGCCTAATTTTTCAGTTAGTTCAAATGCTGATTCCTAGAATGTAGAGAAACAAATGAGTAACACTGTCAATTCATTACAAGCCAAGGAAAATCATTCACAATCATCTGCCTTGTTTTTAAATTGACTACTGATATTGTCCCATGTCCTTAACACTGGGGACAATGCTGCTATCCCCTAAAGATCTTAAATGTACTTATTATGTATACATTTCTTTTGGGGGGGGGTATCAGGGATCGAACATGGGACCTTGCACTTGCGAGGCAGGCAGCGAAACCACTGAGCTAAATCCCCGGCACCTGTATACATTTCTTAAGCTACTGCAGTCAAGTATCATTTAATTCCCATGCCATAGTAGATGACTTTCTTTGCCTACCTGAGAAATGAACCACTTGGAAACTTACTTTTGTTGTAGCCTCATTTTGCTTTTAAGTTTTTATGAAGAAATGTACTAAGGAGATATTTTGTTTAGTTTTTCCAACTTTGCTGGCTGTTGTTTTCTGTGATTTGCGAGTATTATGATGACAGTTTACTCTAGTAGAATGAACAAACTTTTACCATAGATATGGTTCCATTTATATAATAAACACAATTTTTTGCCATCCTATTTGATAATACAGAGTTCACCAAATAATGTGTACATACTTCAGAAAAAGAAAAATAGTGTGGTGTTTTTGTTTTTGTTTTGGTACTCGGGGATTGAACTTGGAACCTTACACTTGCAAGGCAGGCGGCAGAACCACTGAGCTAAATCACCGGCCCAGTGTGGTGTTTTTTCAACAGATGTTGTTACCCTTGTATGGGCGACCCTATAGGATATCATGGCAGAAAGCCCACTACACTGCTGGCCCTTAAAGAAGAAATTGAAAATGCATGTGCAGCAATCACAATGACCAAGGTTACCTAAGTAGCAGTTCACCATACTAACGTCTGGAAGCTAACAGCCATCACTTTGTAGAGGCCAAAGGTAACTTGTATCAATTTCATGCAGTCTCAGTAAATTTAGTATTAAAATATTTATACAAGGTTTTCTCTGTATAACTGTATAATCTACTCTTTACTGAATCTTAAAGATAGGATAAGTTCATACCCCCCCCCATGTCTCTCTGTTTTCCTCCCCTTCCCCTGTTATTTACTTTTAAGAAGGGGTCTCACTTTGTTGCTCAGGCTGGCCTCCAACTTCTAGGCTAAAGTAATTCTCCTGCTTCAGCCTCCAGAACAGCTGTAATTAATAGGCTCATGCCACCGTGCCCAGCTCTTTTTGTTTTGATGTGTGGTTATATGCTGGTAATAAAAGATGTCATGGGATGGTGATATGTATGGTACTAGAAATGCTGTCAAGTTACAAATGTGTTTCTGTAGTTGGTGGCAGCAGTGCTAAATCATGAGAATACCATGTATGGTTTCCATTATAATGACTGTTGTATAAAAGCAGCCATAGACCATAAGTAAATAAATAAGCATGACTGTGTCACAATAAAATTTTATTTATGGACACTGAAATGTGAACTTCATACAATTGTATGTCACTAAATGTAATTCCCCAGCCATTTAAAACATAAAAACCACAATTATCAGGAATAAGGCAAGATATCCACTCTCATCACTCATATTCAAGGTAGTTCTTGAAATTTTAGCTACAGCAATTAGGCAAAAGAAAAAATAAAAGGGATTCAAATAGGAAAGGAAATGGTCAAATTATCCTTGTTTGCAGGTGATGTGATCCTATACTTAGAAGACCCTAAAGATTCCACCAAAAGACTTTTAGAGCTGATAAATGAGCACAGTTTCTACTGTTATCTGAGAAATTATTTCTGATTACATTTTTTCCAGATCCTCTTGTTGCCAGTTCAGGGAGTCCAAGTGGTTGAGTATCAGATTGTTCCATCTCGTTTCCCTTTGTGGTTGCTTTAGGTGATCTGGAAGTCTGGTTTTGAGACTTGTTTATGTGTCTTCTCATTTCAAGCAGGGGGTGGGGTAGTGCTGCTGGCGCCCATGTGGCTCACCTCGGTGCTGGGGGTCCTCTGCTCCTCGGCACTCTAGAGCTGATAAATGAATTTAGCAATGTAGCAGGATATAAAGCCAACATTAAAATAACCAATGGCTTTATTATGTACCAGTAATGGACTAGCTGAGAAAGAAATCAGGAAAACAATTCTGTTTACAATAGCCTCAAATAAAACACCTAGGGATCAATCTAACCAAGGAGGTAAAAGACTTCTACAATTAAAATTTCAGAACATTGGAGAAAGAAATTTATTTTTTGGCAGTGTTAACAAAATAGACTTTAATGAGAAAAATAAAAATATAGTATTGCAGCTTTTAAAACATTTATATAATCAGCAAGTTTTAAGCTTCCTAATGTATGACAACCTTGTGTTTAATAAATGTACACTTATTTGCAAATACAGTGAAATATCTTGTTCTACTTGACAGTGATATTTATAATACTGTAGCCTCATAAGGTCTGTTTGGGGATTGACCTTGACATTGGAGATCCTGTGCACAACTTCCATTTCTTTAGTCACTCTTCCAAATATTGTGTGCTTATTATCAAGCTAAAGCATTGGTACCACTGTTATGAAAAACTGTGATCCATTAGTATTTGATCCAGAGTTTGCCATGCTGAGGGGGAGTGGTCCATCTTGTCTTTTTTTTTTTTTGAAACAGGGTCTCACTGTATAGCTCAGGCTGCTCTTGAATTCACTATGTAACCCAAGCTGTCCTGGATCTCGCAGTGATCCCCTTGCCTCAACCTCCCAAATGCTGGGATCGCAGGCGTGTGCCAACATGCCTAGCTTAGAATCTGCACTTTTTGTATCTTCCGCTTCTCATCTGGTAAACATATAAAATCTGTTCTTTTTGAAAGATTGTTGGGTCAGCTTGAATATTCTGAAGAGCAGGATTTTCAGAAGCTTTCATCACTATAGCAGTTGCAGCAGGATGTTTTTTGGTTATTTTTTGAAACACACAGTTGCATCACTCTAATACTATATTTCTTTCCTCGCCTAAGATCTGTGCACACCAGTTTGTCTCTACCTTTATAACTTTAATGCCCAGCATTGTTTCACATAGTTCAGTGTCCAGTTTTATCAGAAATTATATTAATCTTTCACACACACCTTCTCCAACTCACATTTACAGCCATTTGTCAGCCAAATTCCATGTCTGGTAGCTGTTGTCTCATCTACTGCAGTTCAGTAAACATACCTCATGATTCATCAAAGACTCTCATGAGTTTTCCAGTTAAAAACCTGAAAATTCTAACATTTCTATCAGAAGCAATAGTAACTATTTTCTTCCCATCAGATGAAAAGCACATATTGATTGGAAAATCTTTATACTTGGCAAATTTATATAAATTTGTATCAGCTTTATATTCACAGTTTTACATATGTTGGGAATTTATATTCATGAGGAGGCCCAGTCCAGTACTGAATCATTCCAGATTTGTCAGAAGACACCACTGCTTTGTAAAGTGGGTTCAGCCATATCTGAGTAAAAGGTGATGTATGGAGTTTGTCAAAAATATGAAGGGGCTGGTATCATAAATAAAAATTTTCCCCTACCCTTCTCAGAAACAGTAACAGAAGATTATGGCATCCCCAGGGCAATAAATCCACTCACATTGTTCCGGAAAATAGCCAAGCTTCAGCATATTGATTATGTCAAAGCTCACTACATCAAACACTGTTGTTGCTTTATCATCGCCCACAAAACAGAACAGTGCTCCCTCAGAACCAACAGCAAAGCTCTGAATAACCTCCAGGTGACTACAAAAATGTTTGACCAATTCAATTCCTTCTTCTATTTTTTCCAGAACTTAACACATCCATCATGGCTGGTAGAAATAATGAAGTCTGTCTTGGAACATCCCATGTGGGTGATAATATCTCTGTGCATATAACTTCACTCAAACATGGATATCTGGGGAGATTATCAAGATACACTCTTTCAAAGTCTAGAATTCTCCTTTTCTTAGCCAGTGATGCTTCTACAGGTAAAGACCCAAACCAGTGCTCTTCATTCTCCTTATAATTTGGGGGGGGGGGCACAGCCACTGCCAGCTCTCTCTTGATGAGGTCTGTTTTTTCAGGTTTCTCTGTGTCCCACTGTGTCCTTTCTCTTAGTTGTGAGTCATTACCACTTTCTGCTGCCATGTTTTCTCTGAAGAAAGAATTTTTTTAAAAAAAACGGAAGATGGAAACACCTCCATGGTCATGGTTTGACAGAATTTATATTGTTAAAATGGCTATGTTACCAAAAGAGATCTACAGATTCAATGCAGTCCCCATGAAAATACCAATAACAACCTTCACAGAACTACAAAAACAATTCCAAAATTCAGAAGGGAATGTGAAAACAAAAAGCAAAACAAAACAAAACAGCAAAACCCGAGAATAGCCAAAAGTAATCCTAAGCCAAAAGCAAGGCTGGAAGCATTGCAATACCTATCTCAAATGATACTACAAAGCCATAGTAACAAAAATAACATGACATTGATACGAAATAGACATATAGACAAATGGAACAGAATAGAGGACACAGAAACAAACCCTTGCAACTACAACCATCTGATTCTGCAAGGCAGGCAGCGGAACCACTGAGCTAAATCCCCAGCAACCATCTGATTCTGGACAAAAGAGCCATGAATATACATTGGAGAAAAGACAGATTCTTTAATAAATGGTGCTGGGAATACTAGATATCCACTTACAGAAGCTTGAAAATAGAGCCCTATCTCTTACCCTCTATAAAAATAAAAATGGATCAAAGACCTGGTAAAAGAAAATATAGAAGAGGACAAGTGAGCAGACTAGTGTGGACCTCAGCCACATGGAGCTGGGGCTGCTGACCTGTCCCCACCACAGCAATGAGCTGAGCCATGCCCCACCACCACAGCCCAGCACCCCACCACTACTCCTGGCCTCCTGGCTGCAACAGTACATGTTTCCACACTGCACAGGCACAGGGGGTCATAAAGGCCATTGTCCTAAGCTCCAGAAGATAGAGCAGAAGTGAACAACAGAAAGAGGGCCTCAGGCTCCTTGATGAAAATTGAAGCCCACTGGAAAAGTGAAGAGAATCTCTTTAATAAAGGCACACCAGACCACCGTAGTTGGTGAGTTGGAGGGATCATCACCTCCCATTGGAACCTGAACTATATCAAGGGGAAGGGCAGCTGGAACCTGCAGTAGAATCTTGCAGAGTTCAACCCTGCAGGAGGTCAGCGAGCTCAACATGGGGGTTGCAGCCAGAAATCAGCCTGAATCTCATGGGTCTGCTACTGGCTTGCTGAGACCATTGACTTATATCTGCACACTGCTGTTCACGCTGTCTATTGTGACAGCAGAGACATACCCTGAAGGAGGCCCTTCATTTTTATTTTTTATTTGTTATTCTCAAAATTGTTTTTTTCTCTTAATTTTAATTTTTTCTACTCTTTTCAAATTTTTCTGTTTTTTCTTTCTTCTTTTTCTTTTCTTCTCTGTCTCTGTCTCTGTCTGTGTCTCTCTCTTGCTCTCGCTCTCCCACATGGTTCCTCATCTCCCTTTTTGTTCCTGTTCTGGTCCTAATTCAGATTTCTTCTTTTTCTTTTCTTCTCTTTTTCTTTCTCTTGATTGTCATTAGTTTTAAAGGAAAGTAAATACAGTCTCTAGCCTTCCTATTGCTGCTAGTTTGTTCTGTTCTCATCTTTGTTCTTTCATTCTGTCTTTTCCTCTTGTCTTCAACAATTTCCTAGAGTTTGTGTGATCTTCCTCTGTCCTCTGGCCTCACTGCTAATCTTTCCCTACCTGTCTATCCCTCCTTCCCCAACTCCTTCCAAGTCCCCATCCTGAAGGGTAAATTTGCTATATTGAAGAGTTTATTCACTATAAACATATTTTGTGCTGGTCTTTGATTTTTATTTAATTCACACAGTTAAAGGTGATAGATTAGGTCCGAGGATTTAGCTCAATGGTGCTGCCACCTGCCTCGCAAGTGCAAGGACCCAAGTTCAATCCCCAGAACCAAAAAAAATTAAAAAATTAAAAATAAGGGTGATAGATTAGTAACTACCACAAATTGTTATTTTCTAAGCTATGCTTGATACAATTGTGTTGCTGATTGTATCACTTGGGCTGAGTTGTTGTGATTGATCTAATCAGTTGTAATTTCTGGTATAATGAAAATGAGCTAGCCTCAGAGTCATTAGAGACTCAAAACCTAAAGACCATCTATATCTGGAAGACACCTCTGAGAAGCAATCATTCCATAAGGGTTCTAAATACAAGCAACAAAGATACTTATCATTAATATCAAAGTATCAACCCAGGAATTAAACCAAGGACAGTACGAACAACAAAAATAGAAATGAGAAGACATTTAAACACGGCAAAAACCCAGAATTCCAGCCCACCAAATGCAAATTCTGGGGGAAATGAGGTGGAACAGTCTGATAATCAACCACCTGGACACCCTGAACTGATAGCATAGGAAGTAAGAAAACAGATGAATGAGGCTCTAGAAAAATTCAAAACAGAAATGATTTCCAAGATAAGTACAGAAATGGTGAGCAGAATAAAAGACATGATTAGAGTCTCTAGAGTAGAAACAGATTAAAAAAAAAATAGATGAGTTCAGGACCATGATGGAAACCATGAATGCCCAACATAGGAAAAAAATGGAATCCATGAAACAGATTTAAACAGATATCCAGGAGATTAAAAACTCTATTGAAAGCATACACAGATTGAACCAATCTGAAGACATACACAGATTGAAACAATCTGAAGATAGAATATCAGATATAGAAGAAAGGATGGCAGTCAGTGACCATGAAAAGAGAGATCTCTTAAAAATACTAAGGGACCATGAGAAATCTAACAGCTTCTAGATGATGCAAAGAAGAATAATATAAGATTGATAGGAGTCCATGAAAAAGCAGGAGAAAGTACAAATGACATAAAAAAAACTGCTCATGGAATTGACAGAAAACTTCCCAAAGAGAGCAAAAGAATTTGACATACAGAAAAGAGGCATATAGGACTCCAACTAGCCATGATCAAAAAAAAATCTACACCTAGACATATGATAATCAAGATCCCAGAAAACCCAACAGAAGAACAAAATACTACAAGCAGTTAGAGAAAAGAAACAAATCACATGCAAAGTAAAGCCCATCAGAATCACAGCACACTTTTCAGTGCTAACCCACAAGTCAAGGAGAGCCTGGAGTGAGGTATTTCAAGCCATAAAAGAAAACAGCATCCAACCTAGACTGAGGTATCCTACAAAACTATCTTTTAAAATTGATGGAGAAATAAGATACT